TTTTGGTTGGCTAATCCCAGGAGCTGAGAGAACATGAAAACAAGATAAAAATAGGCTTGGGGTACAGAAAAGTAAGGTGGGAAAATCAGGAATGGAGTGAGGAGAATGGAGCACTAGGACCAAAAGGATGGAGAGGAAGTCGTGAAAGAAGAGCTTTGGCGCTTAGGTGGATTTGGTTGAGCATGGACTTTTAATGAAATGTAGCATTGTGTCTTTTGGGTTGTTGCTCCTTTAGTCTCGTATTTCCTATGCCTCTTAAGGTGGTTATGACAAATGGAAAATAAGAAAGACTGAAAGCCCAAGTAAAGAGGCATGGGGGCTAAAAAAATATGTGAGAATGCTATATTTTCAAGTGATGGAAAAGACTTAAATACTTTTTTCCTTCCTGTGTTAGTCCAGGTAGACTAGATGAACAAATTCATAGACACTCATATGTGTATAGGAGAGAGCTTTATATACAAGAGCAATTAAATATTGAGAAAACATCCCAGCCCAGTCCAGATCAAGTCCATAAGTCCCATATTAGCCCATATGTCCGATACCAACTTATAAAGTGCTTTTCAGATTCATGAAACACATGCAATGATGCTGAATGCAGGAAGATCATAGGCCAGTGGGTGGAAAGTCTTGTGGATCCAGTGGTGGTGTGAGCATCTCAGCGCTGGCAGAGGTCTCTACGTGGCTCCTCCAACTCAGGGCACTAGCATAGGTCCATGTGTCTTGTCAGCTGCCATGTCTCCCAGGGAATGGGCATGTGTCTTACCTCCAAATTCTTTTTCTCTTTAGCGCCTCCAAATGAAGTTATCAAGCTGTGATCTAATTGGCAGACTAAACTTCACCCCTTCACTCTTAATCCACTCAAATTGACAACAGATTATGTAACTACCAGAGGCCACCCCTTATCAATTTGACACTTTCACACAACTCTTTAGCCATATATAGTTTTCAAGCAAACAGTAATAAAACCATTTCTGTACCTAACAGGATAAAACTAGCATGCATACAATTCAGTCTGCACCACCAACATTTAAATGTAACATTCTCGAAGTGAACAAAACAAAAATATCCTATGCCTAACATTTGTGTTAAGTAACACCTATACCTTAATCCTATAACCCTATTAATATATTCCCCCACCTATGAAAGTTTGTAACCCAACCACTCCATGCCTCTATCCCCACAATTTTGGGTATCCAATTTCTATACTGCCCACTTACATCAACCCAGTTCTCTGTGAAGAATCTTCATTCCAGTTGGAACCTTGTGAAGTCTACATCCAGAAGCAAAGTCAAATCAGGACAGGCTGTCCATAAATTCTGCAGCAATATGCATCAGTTCACAGACTGAAAAATCTTCTCTTCATCTGCTCAGGTTCTGGTCAACTCAATGTGGGCTGCCTCACTTGGCCTCACCAGGTAGTCTGTTGGCTGCCTTTCCTTTAGACCATGGCCCCACCACAAAATCTCAACAAGCCTAGCCCTCATGAACTTCAGACCAGTCAACCCTCTCTCATCTTCTTCTCTAGTTCCTGTAAACCAGGTCCAGGGGTGTCAGTGGCCAGACTCAACCTGTCTCTTTATTGCTGCATTTCTCTCACTTCCACTCAACAAGGAGATCCAGGTGGCCACCTAGTATGCATTTCAGCCTGCCCACAGGCTCCCTTTAAAGTTGAGTCCAAGAGAGGAGTTTTCTTCATGATTTCAGCTTTTTTCCAGCATCTGACAAAACCCACG